CTGTTTACCCTTTCATATTTTCTTTTCTTTTTTTTTCCTCCCAAATCCATATATACACAAGGAATGCAGCTTGAAGTAATTTTAGCAAGTTCTTCTCTGGTGAAAATTAAAAACCATTAAGGGCATGTGCCAGTTTGTTGGAATGAACTACCTTTTGATACTAAATCCAAAGAAAGAAATGCTGCTTGGTAAAATGACCTGGTGCAAATTTGTTTAGATCTTGCACATTAGACTCATAGCCAGCTATGTTACGATGTGATTCTTTGACGCAGCTGCAATAGCAAGTTATTAATAAAAGGATTAACGGTTAGAATAATAGTAATTCTCAGGAAACCATGCAATATGGGAATACTGGTATGTGCAATGTGAAAACGCAGTCATTACTGTAAAAAATCTTGCACACTGTGTATGCATCCATATGCACACATATGGTTTCATAATATATCCTAGATTGCAAAGAACAAATGGAATTTAGGAATGATTTGGTTTACAGTTCCCTTAAGTAACATTATCTTGTTAAAGACATTAACCTCAGGCCTTTACTGTTATATATTTGCTTTTATTGTTTTCATCCTGGGGAGCAACCTGTAGGAGAGACACTCAACAGGAAAAGAAGGTTCAAAGGGCATCAAAACATTGATTTTCAAGATGGCTGAGCAGCTGTCTTGGGAGCACTGTGCAATTATGAAAAACAGACATCTCTGTTTAGCCTTCCTCATTATTAAAAATCTTCACATACCTTTCAAGCACTAATAAGTGGGTTAAGATTTAGTTTGGCATCATCAGTTTTGCTCAATGGGCTTTGGTACCCCCACTACGCAGAATTTAACTGGATGAAATATATTCTCCTGTGTGCTATATACAACCAAGTGCTGGCAGAAAGACTGAAAATGAGTCGAACAGTCTCTTCCACAAAGATTTCCCCCAACACAACTGTAATGATCTATGTGGGATTTGTTCTTTCTATTTACCCTTGGGGCTTTCATACAGTGTTTGTTTGCTGTGGGTTTATGGGTTAAGTATGCACAAATCGTAGAATAAACTTCGGGAATAACGTTTCCATTTAAGTTGCTTGACAAGTCCATTTTAAAACCCCTCTGGAAGCCTCTGCATATGCTCTCCAGAATCGCTCTTATTCCTTAAAACAGGTGTTTTTCCTTGGTTTCCCTTTCGTTTGATAAAGGCCAAAGAAGCTTTTGAAATGCCTTTGGCAAACCCTACATTGTCTAGCACGCTATCTAGGGACAAATTATACCTCATGATGAGTTGTGTGGTGTCCACAGGGTTTGCCACAGCTTCTCACCTGTGTTTTAAATGACCTGGGGGTGGGACAATGCTGTATGGTTCCAGTTGCATCATCCCTTTGTAGGCTCAGCTGTGCAAATGCTCTGAGCAGAGAAGTCCTAAGCTGCCTCTGGTTTAATCGATGAGCCCACATGTGTAAATACCTCCTGGCTCCTCTGTTGCCTTCTCTGAGCATGTTGCCCAACGGACAGCACCGTGCTCACACAAGGAGGCAGTTTGCATCCCAGAAGCTGAGGATGGAAGAGGCTGAGCTGTTTAAGGAGCCCTCGTCCCATATGCAAAGCAAGTAACATGAAGGTAATGCAAAATAGACAAGACCATGAGAATGGGATATTCTAGGGAAAACCCACTGCTCCCAAGGGAAGGAAAATGAAAACCCCAGTGTAAAATATATACATTCTTTGGGTTCCATTATGCAAAGAGAACTGGAAGCTCCATTAATTTCCGTCCCAAATAAAATAGCTCCTTCTGGAAAGTATTTGGTACACAGATGCCCCAGATGCCACAACTTCCAAGTTCTTGCCTCAAGGTTTCAAATCTGGGGCAGTTTTTTTTGCACAGTCGCAGCTTCAAAGGTCATTTTAAGTATGAGACGCTTTTTTTCCATTTTCAGTTTTCCTCTTTTAATTAAGGCAAAGACTCCATTAAGTGACATCCATTCAGGAGGTCATGTCACCCCGTTCACAAGTACAAGCGGGCTCTTAAAATTTCTACCAACTTCCATTTCATGCTGCTTGCAAACTCAAGTACCATCCTCTTTAATCAGTTACAGCTGAAGGGTTGTTTCTATCTCGCAAGAGGTAGAGATTGATTAAATAAAAAAGTACATATGCCTGAAACTGTGGGTTCTGGAACAAAACATAGCAGCCAAGAAGATGAGCTGTCAAACAGTGCTGCTGTTATTGACTGCACCAGTGTTGAGTGTTTGGGCTCCGTTGTTTGCCTAGTTCCCCAAGGATGTAATTAGGATACAGCACCATCATTCTCCATTCATTGAGTTTCCTGGAAGCCAGCAGCTCTCTAAGGGCTTTTCCTTTTGTCTTCTCAATAGCCTAAGACTTGGGAGTTTAGAGTTGTTCCTTACTGTCACAGCAATTTGCTGCAGAGACAAAATGAATAAATCCTGTGCCAATAGATTGAGGAAAAATCAATATTTATTCTGCAACAGATATGAAGACATGTTTCCTAAGGCACAGATGAATAATTGTATTGTCAGATGCCAGCTCTGTATTTAAAAGATACAGTCACAGTGTTTAAGAACATGCTGACTTTTAAAAACATTGAATTTTGGGGTTTTCCAATGAATATGAATGGTACTATTTCTGCCTTAAAAAAAAAAAAATCAAAACCAAGCAAACAAAAAGCCTCAACAACTTACAAAATAAGCTGGAATACAAAGATCCAGGATTAGTATATTTGACTGTGTGAAGTCATTAAAATCCCTTTTTTCCCCCACTTATTGAGCATGTTCTGATGATATTTTTTACTTCCAATGGGCTTAGAATGAAACTGTAAGATTGTTTTGTTGGATGTTGACTTGTGGAAAATTGGTTATTTAAATTCCAGGAAATGTCTGATTTTTCAACTACAAGTGGTTTGTAATTAGGGAAGAATCCAGCTGTCAGCCAGCAGGGGAATTATGAAATGTCCAAATCACTGGAGGCAATAGAGAACAATTACCATTCTCGGCCATAGTGTCGTTGTTGTTCTCTCCAAATGCTGGACTGCTTACCTTGAAAACACTTGTGGTCTGTTGGACTGAGGGATCCTATGGGAGTTGTAGATGACAAGAGAACAGTTTATTGCTTAAACTCTACTGGGGTCAACAAAAAGTCATGGAGGCCCAGAGTTTCATCTCATTGAAGTCAATAATCAAAGGTTTAGAGCCAAGTGAGTCAGGTGGTGTGTTTCAGCACAGCTCTGTTGGCTTCAGTGGCTTCGCTGGGATGTGCAGCCACCGAGGAGCTAACACACTGGCCTTGGTGGGAGTGGGATTATCGAAAAGCAGTTCGAGATTTCTCATCAGTGTTAGGCAAAGCTGTTTGTTGTGGTCCAAAGGCTCAGGAACCAGAGCCAAGCTGGGCTCTTGCTGTTGTTGTGGTGGGAGGAGGAATTGGAGGAAAAAGGTGAAGGCAGAGTGACAGAGCCATGAGGTAATGGCTAGGGTTATGGTTGGGTTGGCACAAATAAAATAGCTGTAGCTGCCCAACTAGAGCTGGGTCAGACTTGTGGGTCTGCAAAGCTTTCGGTAGGCCCACCTTGGTAAGGGCAGATCATCTGCCCTTAATGATTGAATTGGGGTTACAGTACATAGCTCCTTGCATAGTCCAGTGGAAATCAGTGAAAGACACCAAACTGTGGAGCTCCATTCAGAGGCAGCCAACCTACCCAGCAGGAATTTGTATGAGGCAGTTCATGGAGATGTTATCTAATACCAGGATGTGATTATCCCTGTTTTCTTAGTCTTCAGTTTGGATTTCTAACAGCCTAGTAATCAGACAATGTATAGATATATTTGAACTGCTATTAATTTAAAGCTAACATTGTATTAGTCCAATTTAGTGTTATACGTAATGCTTTGACATGATCGCATTGTGCCCACGTGCCTTGAGTGAGAAGCCAATCTTGTGAAATACAAGACACATGCATCTCCTGTCAGCTTGAAAACATATTGGCGGGAAGGCGAAGTAGCTTGGAATTAGTTTTGATGTTATCTGAAAAGTAAAAAAAAACATCAAGAATGTGTTATAGTTGGAAACAACGGATAGAGATAATGCTGGACTCCAGGAGGTTTAAAAGCAGCAGCCAAAAGGTGACCTTGAGAGAGAGTGCATGTATAAATAGAGAAAGCACTGAGTGTTAGAAACAATGGTCATTGCCTGGGACAGCAATGACTCTTTGGACAGGCTGGGAAAGGAGAGAAAGTCATTCAAATTCCGCTGTACGGCTCTCATTGCCCAGGTTGGATGCTAGTTACAGGAAAGCTCAAGCCAACAAGTTGGATCTTAGCACCGTTGTCCAGATCCAAGTTTCATCCGCTTGATTTTGTTCTTGTTTATATGGGAATGACTTGGCTAGTGTCAGAGCTTTTTGTAACATTGCAAAATCAGTGGAAGTGGTGGGATCACAATTTGGTCAGACCTGATCTAGAGCAAGTCAATCCTACAATGTTGCATTAGAAACTCAAAGCTGAACTTGCAATCTGGTTCCCTCCTGCTGGTTCCAAGATGTTGGACTAAATGTCACCCAGTTATCCTTTTGTCTCTGAACCTGCAAAGAGTGTATTAGATACCCCTTGTGTCATTGGTCTATTCAGTTCATCCAGCCGAAATTCCCAAGACAGAATGGAACAGAAAAATGGGATCTGCAGGAAACAGCATGCAGACCACTGAGCCAAGCCAAGAAGCAAGGCTTTGGTGGTCAAATTTGACCCTTCTATAAAACTCAGGGTGAGCTGAGAACTTGGGCTCTAAACCTGGATGTGAGCCTTGGCTCAGATCTACTGATACCAGTCATCTCTCTTTTGGGGATGAGATAAATATTTAAGAGTGCTCAGCTGTGTGTTTTTGTAAGGATATGAGATAGTGCCTGGCTGTTACTGGAACACTGTAAAGCAGCTATATTAAGACTATACTAAGGAACAAGTTGAATAATTACTCAAAAATGAAAAGCCACATTTCTCCACAAAGAGAAAATGTTACGAGCTCTGTGATTTACTATCTCCTTTCCAACATGAAGAATTTCATAGGAAAGAACTGAAAAAAGAAAACCCAGAAAACAAACAAAACCCAATAGCAGCCAAACAAGAAACAGGGTAAAAAGAGTCTCACGTGCTGTGCCCGGAAACCAAATTACCATTATTTGCTTATTAGATACTGCTGTCTTGGTAGATATAGGTATGAATTCAGAAAAGACATTTGTGGCCAAGGCTTGATATTGCAGGGCAATGGATGTCTTGGTAAAATACTGCATTTCTGTCATGCGCACTGACCACAGACTCGAAAGGCAGTGGCAAACAGCAGTGCAATCTCATGAAAAGTCTGTGAGGTAGAACAAGGCTGGAAAAGGTGGATTTTGGAATAAGTCACCGTTTCCAAGGATCTTCCTCCTGGCTGTGGTTTGAAATAGCTACAGAAAAAGGCAGGTTAAGAGGTGCACAGAGGATGTGTTAAACCAAGAAGAAGAAGGATCATTAGGATGACTGCTGTGACTTCAGGACAAATGAATATTTGATGGTGTAGCTGGAAAGAGCTGAGACTGTAAAGACTTAGAACTGAAGTCAGTAAAGGACTATCTCACAGCACTGGGAATACCATACTTCATTGTTCCCATTGACTCAGACCTGCGCCTCTTGGAAAATAGAGCTCAGGGTAGCAGTACACAGTTTGCAAAATGTGCGTGGCTTGGAAGAGCTGGTACGAATCAGCAGCCCCTGTGCTTGGGCACAGATTAACATCCAGTGAGCATCCCTCTGGGATCACATTTCCTCAGCATGGAGGCAACACTTCATAGAGAAAATTTTCAACAACTTAGTGATATTTTCTAGCCTTTAATTCCTCTGATTTCTGGACCCAAATAGGTTGTGAGAATTAATTAATTTGATAGTATACATAAAATACGTATGAAGAGAAACCTCGGGTGCTTTTTATGTGAAATGAGTGCAGAGGCTGCTGTGGATAGATGGTGAACTGGGCACCAAATGATTGCAGATATTTGCTGGTTTGAAGGACTTCACTTTAAATCACGTTGGTTAATAATCATCTGTGTCAACTTGTTTGTTAGGTTAAGACCAAGTCCAGTGCCTTTGAAAAAACCTAAAAACTAAAATAACCCTCCTCCGCCTCCTTCCACCAGAGCAGCCCTCCATACATCCCGCTGGATTTCCGAGCTTGGAACAGCGTTTAAAACAGGGAGATGACATTACACACAGCCTGTCAACGCGCACTTCCAGAACCCAGGCAAAGCAAGACAGCCCCTCTCATTACAGGTGGAAAAATAGGGGTTTTTTTTTTAAGCAAAGCTCTCGGAAGAATTACAACAGTGTGCACACAGCGGAAGATGAAGTTTTTCTTTGTGCTTTATCAGCCGTGTTTCCGATGCACGCGGTCCTGCGATGTCGGTTTGTCAGTTGGGATGGGATGTCAGATAAACAGGTAGTTTGTACTTTGCTGGAGCCCTCCATCCTCATCCAGGGAAACCTGCTGAAATCTGAGATATATAAAATAGGAGACCAGATTCTGGGATAGGTGTAAGTTGGCATGCCTCCATGGCGTCAGTGGAGTTACGTTGATATAGGCAAACTGAGCAATCAGCTCTATGGTGTGCTGGAATAGGTAATATTTCTTTGGCTTGCTCTTGAAAGGGGTGGGAAAAGGAAAATGTCATAATGAGGATGAAATTGTCACAGTTTTGAACAATAGCTTTGGAAATTCCTATTCTCACAACTCATGAGGAATATCACTTCTCAAGGAAGAGGGGGAATGGCTTCTGAAAGATTACACATCTCCCTCTAGTTTCATTTTGGAAAAGCCTGTGCTCATTTCTTCAGTTCTAATCAAAGAACACAATAAAATGAGTCATCAAGCACACCTACTGCTGACCTCAAAGATGCCAAACCCTAATAAATCCTTCAGTTGTGAGTTGCCCCAAGCTACAGGCCTGGTCCATCAGCAGGATGACAGGAGGATGGTCTTCCATGGCTCCAGTGCTGGGGCTGCTGTGGTCCATGGAGGATGCAGCTTCTAGCAAGCCTGGAAGTACTACCAGATTAGCTAAAACCCAAGTCATCTCCTGGTGCATCCTTCCAGCAGGTTCCCAAAATGCATAGAGTTTTAGAGGCACTGCTAGCACAACAGAGCAAACCAGGACTTGATCATATTTCATCTCTCTGTTGCTTTAGAGCTCATCCTAAAACCATGGCTGTCTTGCAGGTGTAGGACTTTCCTGGCATGGCTCTGCTTGAAGAGCTGGATGGTTTTGAAAAACCTTTGAGAAAAAACAGCAAAACTGATTTAGTTATTTTAGGTCAGTAATTAGGGAAGATACGATGTAGCTCCATTTTGTGGTAAGAAATACATAATTAATCCATGGAACTCACCACCACGAGACATGGCTGAAGTAGAAGGACTTAATGATTTCAGACCCAGCCTGTAGGATTATGTGAACAAGGTTATGTTTAATTTGATTAGTCCGGGGAAAAATCAAAACCACAGCAGTTTGGATGAAATGGAAACCTACATGTTTTGGTGCATGACTGAAATCTGAGCTGAAGGGTAGAAGGAAGACAGGGAGATTTTTGACAGGTTATTCCGTAACTTCCCAATTTGGGGTTTCTTCTTGGAAGTGAGATGCCAGAGAACAGGAAAAGTTGCTCCAATCCAGTTGAAGAATTATCTACAACTTGCAGAGTTAAACTCCTTGGTTTCAAGAGGTAGAAAGCTCTTCCTTGTTCCTTCTCTAACCTCCTGATTAAAACCCATGGATGTTTGCTAATGCTTTTGCTTATCACAGCTTTCCCCCATCAACAGATCTCTGACGTGCACTTCAACTTGAACTTGACCACAAGTCGACAGGGGCCTTGATAGATAGACAGATAGATTTTTGCGTGTCTTTTCAAGCCAGTTCCCTTCAACAGGTGTTTGCTGTGTCTGAGGTTGCTCTGTTTATATAATCCTTGTTCCATTTGGAAGGATGAAAAATATCACTCCGTTTTATTGTAAACAGACTCGGGTTCTCTTAAACACTAAAAGGAAAGGTTACCAGATTAGTCATGGGCTTCTCCCCCCCCCCCGCCCCAACATCACCTTGCTTTGCTCCCCTTTGGAAAGAGCCAGCGAGCCTCCCCTTGCGCTAATGTGGGGTCTATGGGGTGGCTGCTGCAGAGGGTTTGAAGCCTCCCCATGCTACATCCCTGCGTGCTGTGCAGAGCTCTGGACCAGGGGTGGTTTGCTATGTGTGGGGTCTTTGCGTGCTGCCTGAGTGCTGGCTATCAGTTTTCAAATACAAGCTTGGATGAGCGTCCAGGTTTTATCATCCATTTGCTGCCAACAATTCTCATTTTGATTTTTTTTTCCTCTTTTTTCCCCCTTTTTTTTTTTCCTTTTCTTGACAAGCATTCATGAGTGAAAGCTCCATCACGGAAAGATAATCTTTTATAATGACAGAACCAGAGCCAGGGATCTGTGTCAAAGGGCTGAGATACTGCCTCGCTGAGAAACCAGAGCCTGAGCTTGGTCCGTGCATAAGGTGCATTTGGAGAAAAGCTCGGAATGATGGAGACTGCTGTGATAGGTATGGGATGGAGCAAAAACAGGATGATAGCCAGAACTGGGTGGCTTTACTGGTGTCCTAATAACATACACATTGCTCCCTATGTCACTATATGAGAGGTTAGCGCATATCCCAACACCAGGGCAGCCAGTCCCAGAACTCAGGTTTCCCCTGGGCTCTGCAGAAAGCCCCAGCGATGTGTATAAATGAGATCTGTGTAAAGCCTGTGCTTTGAGTTCTCGAACTCCAAAGGGGCACGAGCATCTTGACAGGGCCTCCTAACATAAGGCATGTGTGCATGAGCCATGGTATGAATCACTGGGGCCTGGAATGGAGCTTTATTTAGGATGCAGAGTCAGAGAAAATTCCACCCTTGCCCTGGGAGTAGGGGAAAGCAGGTGTTTTTTTCCATAAACTGTCCTTAGCCCTAAAGTTAACGGCCATAAATTAAACAGGGGAGGGGAATAGCAGATGTTACTCAGGGAACCCACGTGCATGCAGCTGAAGGTGAAAACTAAATATAGGTGGTTCGTTGGGGTCTTTTTCTCTTTTTAAATCAAAATCCAAAGAAATGTCCGTACCTTCTCCCTTTCTGGCTGCCAGGTCACACAGTTTCATTTCTTGAAATCACACAATTCCTCTTCAGCCAATCCCTCTTCCCTATGAGTCCCCAATGCACTGAGATCCTGGCACTCAGAATCACCGACTTTTGCTATCCCCATGTCCCCAGCAGGAAATGGGTGATGGTGGCAAAGACAACTGGTGCTGCCTGTCCCTGCACCCTGCATGGCTCAGCCCCAATGGGACATTTCCATCCAAGCCATCCCTTCCTGCCTTGGACACAGGCGGCAGCAGCCACCCCAGCCAGTCGTCATTAGCACCTCACATCCTCCTTCCCTGTGGCCAGTTTACCTAACAGCCTGTATAAACGCAGGAAATGTGCTTACTTTCCAAAAACCAATGGAAAATTGGTGTGTGGTTGTTCTGCAAGAGGCGCTCCAAGGACAGGGCTGTTGGGGATGCAGGGACACTTTCTCTGCTTAGCATCCCTGTGATGGGGAGGGCACAAAAGCCCCAGGAAGCAGCATCTGAGGTCAGGATGAAGAGGGATTGCTGATCAGACAGCATCTAGTGCTGTCTGGATAGGTGGAGGCATTTGGGGCAGGTTTGTGGGGTTTAAGGGCAGTTTGCTGTCAGGTTGCCTGCTGCTTTGCACATCCACCATATAAATAAACGGGGAAACTGAGGCACGATGGACGCACATCACAGGAAGGGCAAAATACCTCCATACCCCAGTGCTCCCAACCCCAGTCCTTGGTGGATCAAACCACAGCTCTTTGCTAAGCCAGACAAGCCTTGAAGCCATGCATGCGAAAAGCAGGCTCCCAGACGCTGGGGTGATGGGCTCGGTGTGTCCTCCTCTCAGGCTGCCCTCTGCCCACTCACAGATGTCTCACTGAGCACGAAGCTGGTTTACATTTCTCCAGCCAAGATGATTTTGTGTCCTACAAGGGGAGAGGGGGATGCTGCTAACCGCAGGGACAGCTCACGCAGCACCATTCGGCCCGAGGTTCATGCCCTGTGGCCGCTTTGCCTTGGAAAAAGCTGTCCAAAGGGTGTTATTTCAAGTTGAGCGTTTAGGAGCACCCAAAAACCATACCAAGCTTTGCAATTCTCTGTGAATTGCTTTAAATTGTTTCTCTGCAAGTCAGGCCAGGTATATAGAGATGGGGAGGAGGCATCTTCATCTATTCCTTTGGACCTTAATTCTAGGTGATTTTACTGCTGCTTTCCCATCTCCCAGCTCCTCCAAAGCAGGCAGGAGGAAAGGAGGAAAAA